TGGAACTGTAGCACGTATTTTCATTATCGCTTTTGGAATCGAATTTTGACAACGTTCGAGGCCGAATTTGGAAATTTGACGTTAGATAGGAATTGTAACCAGCTCAAATAGCTTTCTAATGCCGCCGGAACCAGTTTATTGGGTGTCCGGATAAAGAAGTTATGCTCGACTTCCTGGACACTACAGAAGATGTTGAGGGATCCTCTCATCTAATTTGATTTTATTTTCCTAATTGAAACTCTTTTCTTACTCTTTGATCATTTTTGCTTCAAGGATACCTAATTATCGATTTGTACCTATAAGATACTAAATCCTCCAATTAAAACAGAAATATAAATTAATCCAAAAAAAATTCCACGTAAACATAAACGTAGAGTGTTAATTCTACACTCCACTTTATGTTTTGTATCTAGTGTTTTTGTTGTTGTTCAGTTATGCGTATTAAAGTCCTAGTGTTGTAGTCCGTGTTTTTAAGAACGATGTTGCGAATGCACTTTTGCGCATGTTTTTTTACATGTACGTGTGTGCATGTCCATTTGAGCGATTGTGTTTGTGCATGTTTGTGTATTTGTATTAATGTTCTAGGATTGAAGTTTGTATTTTCATGATCCTTTTGCGAATGCACTTTTGCGTGGGTACTTTTGTGCATGTTTTTGTATTCTTACTTATGTGTGTATCTTTTCTAGCGAGTGTTTTTGTGCATGTTTCTTGATGCGCATTCATGTCCTCGAACTGTAGCACGTATTTTCATGATCGCTTTAAGAATCGAAGTTTTACCATGTTCGAGTCTGAATTTGGAAATTTGACGTTACTCAGGAATTGTAGCCAGCTGAAATAGCTTTCTTATGCCGCCGGAACCACATGATTTGGAGTCCGGAGAGATTGTTATGCTCGACTTCGTGGACACTACCAAAGATGTTGAGGGATCCTCTCTTCTAATTTGATTTGATTTTCCTAATTTCAACTCTTTTGTTACTCTTTGAACATTTTTGCTTCATGGCCACCTAATTATCGATTTGTACGTATAAGATACTAAATCCACCAATTCAAACAGAAATATAAATTAATAAATAAAAAAATCCACGTAAACGTAAATGTAGAGTGTTATTTCTAAACTCAGCTGTATCTTTGGTATCTAGTGTTTTCGCTGTTGTTGGTTATGCGTATTAATGTCCTAGTGTTCTAGTTCGTGTTTTCAAAACCGTTGTTGCGAATGCACTTTTGCGCATGTTTTATTACATGTACGTTTGTGCATGTCCAGTTGAGCGAGTGTGTTTGTGCATGTTTGTGTATTTGTATTAATGTCCTAGGATTGTAGTTTGTATTTTCATGATCCTTTTTGCGAATGCACTTTTGCGTGGGTACTTTTGTGCATGCTTTTGTACTGTTACTTATGTGCGTATCTTTTCTAACTAGTGTAACATTGTTCTAGCACGAGGTTTGTGAACTACTCAGATTTGCAATTGTTTAAAATATTTTACGCCCTTGTTTGCTCAGTAGGCACCAGGATGGGATAAAATGATTAATCCCGAATTCGGATTTTAGTGATTTTGTGAAGACTTGAAAAAATAATATTTTTGATTAGAGAAAGTAATAGACTAGTGTTTTGTGGATGGAAAAATTACTTCTCTTGTTTTTTTTTTTTTTTTTTTGTCTTACTTACAATCATCTCTAGCCCTCCATATTTATAGTGAGGAGTACATTAATATTATAATAAATTACAAGATGACCCTTAGACTAACAACTCTTGTAATTCTAATTTAATACATAGGAAAATCAAAATACAATTGTCTAGATACATCTAGACAATGATGCTTCAAATTCACATTTATTCTAACATTCAATCCTCCACTTATTCCAACATGAATGCCCACTTCTTCCAATATTGAATTGCCACTAATTCTAATATTGAATTCACATTAAGTCAATTAATTCCAACATTGCCTCCCGTAAATTGAATTTGCTTTTGATTCCCAAACCTTCAACATTTTTTGGAGAAAACGGGACCTCCAAGTGGCTTAGTGAAAATTTCCGCAAGAGAGATAATTAAGCGAATTGTATCAAGTCTTGAAACGGGAGAAAGTACCTCATTAAAGTCTTCTCTTTTTTGCTTGTATCCTTTTGCAACAAGCCTCGCCTTGTATTTGTTGATGGAACCATCAAGATTGGTTTTTGGTTTGAACACCTATTTCACACCAATATGAGATATGTGTGAAGGTAAAGGTGTGAGCTCCCAAGTTTCATTTTTTTCAATCGCCTTCATCTCTTCTTTCATCGCTTGATTCCACTTTTCTTCTTTTGAGGCTTCTTCAAAAGAGATTGGATCCTCCCCGGCAAAGAATGAAAAGAAAATAGGATTTGTTGCATTCACCTCCTCCGTTTCATCATAGAGTTCTCTCAAACTCATCGTTTTTCTTGGCGGGGGTGATGGTGAATTTTGTGGAGACTCATTTTCACCATCATTTGGTTGCATTGCTTGAGAATCGCCTTCTTCGTCTCCAAGGGTCGGCCAAGTTAATGATTCTGAATTTTTTGAAAAATCACTATACCCAATGAAAATGCATTTTTCGGCTTTATCGTCGAGCTTGGTCCTCATAGCATTTGGAATATGTGAATATGCAAGACAACCAAATGTTTTAAGATGACTAACATTTGGCTTCTTACCATACCACACCTCATTTGGAGTAGAATTCTCCAAGCTCTTCGTCGGTGATCGGTTGATCAAATAAATGGCACAAGCGACCAGTTCAGCCCAAAACTCCGATGGAATATTTTTCTTTTTCAACATACACCGAACCATATCCATGATTGTTCGATTTCTTCGCTCCGCCACGCCACTTTATTGGTGTATACCGGGCCGTCAATCATGTCTTATCCCATGAATTCGACAAAAGTCTTCAAATAAAGAAGATAAATATTCTCCCCCACGATCACTCCTCAATTTTTTTATTTTGAAACCTGAAAATTTCTCAACTTGGATTTTAAAATCTTTGAAGCATGAAAGAGTTTCAAATTTTTCTTTCACAAAATAAGCCCAAACTTTTCTTGTAAGATCATCAATAAATAACAAGAAATATCGATTACCACCGCGTGAGAGAACTTTAAATGGTCCACAAAGGTCACTATGAATGAGCTCCAATGGTGACTTTGATTTACAATTTGATTTGGAAGGAAATGGCTCTCGGTGTTGCTTCCCCAATTGGCATTCTTCACAAATTTCGTCCATGGCTTTAATGTTCGGCAATCCTTGAACAATTTCCTTGTTCGATAACTCCTTCAAATTTTGGAAATTCAGATGCCCCAACCGGTCATGCCACAACTTTGAAACATCGTTCTTCACAGTTAAATGGCAAGAGGCTTCAAAATTATCAAGTTTGATCGGAAAAATATTATTTCCGGTTATACCGATATTTGCAATGTGTTGATCCTTCTTTTTAAAAATGCAAGTGAAGTCGTCGAAAAACAAGTTGAAACCTTTCCTCATCAAGTGACCAACACTTAGCAAATTACTTGCCAAGTTAGGTACATGGTAAACCTCGGACATTTTTTCGACTTTTTCGGATTTTGTTTTGAAGACAATTTCTCAAACACATTCTAATGCGTATGTGTATCCATCTCCAAGCGTAAATGTCCTTGTAGACTCTCCAACGCCATTGATGAAAGATCTTGTGACTCTTCGATAGCCACAAACAACATGATCAAATTTCACCGGCAAGCTTCGCATAATTTTTTCGACAACCCTTTGGGTTTCCATGACTTCGCCATTTGTCGCCATTTGATTTACAAGAGAGGTGATTCTTGTAAAATATTCAACAATTTTTTCGTTTTCTTTCATCTCCAATTTTTCGAATTCAGCCCTCAAAGATTGCAAACGAACCTTGTTTACTTCATTTTTCCCGGCATAGGTTGTTTGTATAATTTCCCATGCCTCCATGGAACTACTCGCCTTGGTTAGTCTTTCATAGACGGGAGCTTCGATGGCTTCATATATTTGGAAAAGAGCTTTTCGATCTTTTTGCCTTTCGGTTCTTAAAGTTTGCCTTTGTGCATTCGTCATGTTGATCCTCATTTTCGGGAGTCTGAACACCGTCTTCAACAACGCTCCAAATGTCTTGAGATTCAACACAATGCTTCATAACATTACTCCAATAATCGAATTTTTCTCCATTGAAATGAGGTATAAGAGAAGCAAGGTTGGTGGACATTTTTAAGATGGCTATGATGCCAATTTGAGGCACCAGGATGGGATAAAATGATTAATCCCGAATTTGGATTTTAGTTATTTTGTGAAGACTTGAAAAATAATATTTTTGAGTAGAGAAAGTAAAAGACAAGTGTTTTGTGGATGGAAAAATTACTTCTCTTTTTGTTTTTTTCTTTTTGTTTTTTTTTTTTGTTTTTTTTTTTTTTTGTTTTTTTTTTTTTTTTTTTTGTCTTACTTAAAATCATCTCTAGCACTCCATATTTATAGTGAGGGGTACATTAATATTCTAATAAATTACAAGATGACTTTTAGACTAACAACTCTTGTAATTCTAATTTAATACATAGGAAAATCAAAAGACAATTGTCTAGATACATCTAGACAAAGATGCTTCAAATTCACATTTATTCTAACATTCAATCATCCACTTATTCCAACATGAATGCCCACTTCTTCCAATATTGAATTGCCACTAATTCCATTATTGAATTCACATCAAGTCAATTTATTCCAACATGCTCTTGCCAAAATAACCCATGTGTCAACAGTTTCTAGTTCAAGCTCGTCCCAAATGGTGCATATAGGGTGATTTAAGACGCTCGTGTAGTTTACGAACTATATATTACAATTTCCCTATTCCCTTTCATTTTCTCCTTTTTGTTAGAATCATACACGTAAAGATTCAAAAAATTTTACTTAGGTGAGATTACTCCACATTTTTTTTAAACAAAAAATTACATGAAATAGCAAAAAGAAAGAGAAAGGAACACAAGATCAATCAGCAAATCTATGTTCTTCAACTAGCTATAGATAATTCTTTTTGAAACAGACTCAATTCACTAACGACATCCGACATAGAAATCCTGTCTCTCGGCATTTCATTTGAACACGACACTCCAATATTAAGAATGCAAGACATGCGATCCTCGAACATATTGTTATTCTGGCGAGGGCCTATTTGAACTTGGGGATCCAATATTTCCATCACATGATCCGGCAACGTAGAATCCACAAAATTGTGAAGATTGACATGATCCATGAACGAATCGTCCGTTGGCCTTTTATTTGTGAACATCTCCAATACGAGGATGCCGTAGCTATACACATCCTTCTCTGTCGAGATCACGTTACTCATCCCATACTCTCCACATACGTTTCGAGATATTAACGGCAAACGACATATAATTTGGTTGCTATAAAGAACAAATTGCACATCACCCCCTGTAAATTTCTAATTTTCACACTTTACCCCCTCAATTTTTTTAAAAGTGAATGTCCTCCTTCAAAATGTTATTCTTGTTGCACATTGCTCCAACAGCAAAACTCCGATGGACAATTCATCGGAATTCGGTATTTTTGTTGCACATTGCCCCTTTAAATGTTATTATTGTTACACTTCACCCCTAAAAAACACTACTTTTTTGCACGTTGCCCCTTTAAAATGTTATTTTTATTGCACAGTGCCCTCCAAAATTGGCTTCTGGGCAAAGTGCAACCAAAATAATATTTCGAAGGGTGAATATCCCCTTTTTGAATTTGTAGGGGGGAATGTGCGAAAACCGAAAAGTTATAGAAGGGTGAAGTGCATTTTGTCCTGATACAAAACTATGAAAATGAGATGATTAAAATCAAATATACCTTGAGGGACATAGCCGATTGTACCCTAGATCCCAATTGCGGTGGAAGTACACTCGAAACAATATTGGACAATCCGAAATCACCAACACAGGCAGTCATATCTTCATCTAAAAGAATATTACTCGGCTTCAAATCGCCATGAACAATTATCAAACCACTACCGGAATGGAGATACTCCAGTGCATGAGCAACATCGATAGCGATATCGAGCCTCTCGATCAAATCAAGATTTCTAAGTTGTGCATCAGATTCCTCTTCTTGTTCGCCGTTGAAGTACAACCATTTGTCCAAACTCCCGTTAGTCTTAAATTCATAAACCAATGCTTTGAAATCGTTTCCTTGGAAGTCTATGCTCTCACAAACACTCAATATTTTCATGATATTTCTGATACCTCTCAAGGCATTGTATTCCGCCAAGAAGCTCTTGGAGGCTCCTTTAACAACAAGATTAAGCACTTTCACGGCTATAACCATCACCTCGTCATCAAGTACACCTTTGTAAGCATATCCAAAACTCCCGGCGCCTACTAGGCTAGTCTCGGTGAATCCACCCGTTGCTTTCGGAATAGGAAAGCCTCAAGAATTGTGTACCCATAAATGATGGCAGAGAAGGCAAAACTTTTTTGTGTGCTCCGCTCTTGTATAGAAAAATAATGATGCATAACACTACTAAATCTCCGACTATTAGGATCGCGATTTTGAGTGGCGTTGATAAGTTTTTCTTTGAGGAAGATGAAGTGCAAAGTGGAAGGTTGAACTCAAGAATTCCTCTGCATAATTCTTTGTTATCTTGTAGGGAAGTTATGGTCTTATTTTTTAACACTCCGGTTGTTGGCACTTGGCCTTGCAACATATTGAACGATAGATTCAATTGCTCGAGTCGTAGCAAACCGAGGAAACTTGGGATTGTCCCGGATAAATTATTTCGTGAAAGATCCAAATATGTTAAGCCTACAAGAGGACTTAGACCCTGCGGTATTTGTCCTTCGAATAAATTACCCTCTAGGTAAAGTCGTTCCAAGCTAATGCACGTTGCTAAAGAGTTCGGAATAAGTCCAGACAATCTGTTGTTGGAGAAATCTAACATAACTAGGCTCGACAAAGATCCAACTTGAGATGGAATCGAACTGGTCAATACATTGTAAGATAGATCCAATGAGACAGAAATGGTGGAAATAAGAATCTCTTGAGGTATGGAGCCACTTAAATTTTTTTTCAAAAGATTTAACTCTGTCATGTTTGTGCAGTTCCCAAGGCTCTTAGGAATAGCTCCGGAAAAATTGTTTTCGTACAAGTTTAATTTAGTAATCGAACTTATGTTTCCAAATAAAGACGGTATGTCACCCGTAAACCTATTTTGTGCCAAGTTGAGAATATTCGGATTAAAAAGTTTCCCAATCTCAAAAGGTAAAGGACCCGAGATGATGGTTAACAAGATACAAGTAAGTGAGACTAACGAGGTTTCCGATACCGGATGGAATTTTTCCTCGTAGTTGTGTATCACTAATCCTTATAGCAGCAAGGTTAACGGTAATATTTCCGATGCTTTCTGGGATTTGACCACTAATGAATGGGCTAGAAAGATCAAAAGCACGTAGGTTTGTGCAATTCGTGAGCGATGAAATGAAACTAAAATCATCTTCAACTAAGGTTTCTGCATCGTATAAGGAACTAAACCGCGAAAGACCTCCGAATATTGGCATTGGCCCGGGAAAATCATTGAATGATAATACCAACGATTCAAGTGAAGAAGCGTTCGATATTGAAATCTGAACCCTCCCACTAAATTGATTCCTCCCCAAACTAAGAAAACTCAAATTAGGGAGAGTCAGGCCTATAGTAGAGGGTATGGATCCATGAAGACCACTAAAATCAACTACAAATCGCTCAATAGTAGATATATTGAACAAACCTGAAGGAATGATGCATGTGAGATTGTTTTTGCCCAAATTAAGAAGTCTAAGTCTCACAAGCTGGGAAATCCGGAATTTTTCCGTTGAAGTCGCAAGACCTTAAAGAAAATCGTATAACAGATGTTAGGTTTCCTATATAGTGAGGGATAGGCCCGGAAATTTTGTTCTCACTCAAGCCTAGAGCTTCTAGTTTCTCCAAAAAACGAAGCTCCGAAGGTATGGGCCCGGAGAGATTGTTGTCGATCAAATTAAGATAAACTAGATTCTTCCATTGGGTAATATTTTCGGGCATTATTGTTCCCATGAAAGAATTGTTGCTAAACTCTATATACTCTAGTCCTCTTAAAAGACCGATTACTTGAGGAATTCGGCCATTGAACATATTATTTCCGAGATTTATTACTCTAAGGAATGAGAGATTACCTTTATGAGATGAGAGTGATCCAATCAAGCCTTGAGAATCCAACTTTATGGCAACAACTCTATTCGGGTACCTGCGACCGCATGCGGCTCCGTTCCACGTGCAAAAGCTTGTCATTTGATTCCATGAGTTTAGAGCTCCATTTGGATCGACATCGATGCTTCTTAAAGCCAGCAATGAAAGAAAATCTGTTAAGTTACTTCTAAAACATGTTGCTGGACTATATAGGGCAAGAGAATAGATGATGAAAAAAGAAACGATGATGATTGATTTCGCCATTTTTTTTGGAATGGTGATGCTTTTTTACTTGGTTTTTGTCATGTATATATATATTAATTGCAGGGAAAATAAAGCTTTCATCCTTCAAGTTTGCATCGATTTCACATGTGGTTCCTCATGTTCATCAAAAACACATTCAGTCCCTTATGTTTAAAAAATGCAACGATACTATTTTCGTTAATTTTCCGTTCAAATTAATAGATTCAGACATGTGTTCATCGGCCTTAACTGACGGACTAACAATAAATTGACCGAGAGGATTAACTCCTTCATGACAGTGCACATTAACTCCTTCATTTTACCTATATTGTTAATTTAACTCAGTATCAATTTATTCTTACAATTTCGTCCAAATAAAATTAGATTCGAGAAATGTACTAAACATGTGAAATGACAAAAGTAAGGAGGGTTTCTAGGAATGAGTACATTATATTTTATTCACAAATATTATTTATTTCTTTATTTTAACATTTTGAATCGAAAACGTTATACCTAATTTGATTATACCAAATTTTATTAAAGAGTCTTTTTTTTTTATATAATTTTATTAATATAATTTATTTCATTATTTGTAATTATTAATATGTAAAAATAATTAAACATATATTGTAATTTCAGAAATATTATTTTTAGTTGTTTATACAATAAAGTCGATTTTACCTAATCTTATAATTTATTTTTTGTTTTTATTATTCTTAAAAAAAATTAATGGTATTTCAATTTTAAATGAAAATGCAAAAAAAAAAAACAAAAAAAGAAAAAAAAAAGAAATCAATTAAAAATCATAACTAAACAAAACATTGACACATATATACAGCTGATGGCTCGGCGACGGAGGTGAAATGGCAGATGCGGCGGGGCTGGGGCACTCGTAATAGATTTTTGGGGATTTGATTGTTTTCGGACGAATTTATGATAGTAAAGTTAAACTGGGGCCAAATGAAAATATAGGTAAGACATGGGGTAGAAGTGCATGATCAAATGCCTCGCACGTGACTTTTCCGTCCAAACAATCAACAATTTCAACTATGGACGAAAATTGTAAAAAAACTAGTTATTTGAGGACCAATTTCGTGCCAGAAAAAGTCTAAGGACCAAAATAAAAAAGAGATGTATAATATAGGGACCGAAACTTTAAGTATCACTCTTTTTTGTCTTTATGTAATTTAAATGTAAAAAAAAATAAAAATTAAAAAACATATAAAAAATTTAATATCACAAAATTAAATAAAAATAATGCTTATAAAACTAAATTTAATTAAATTATAAACTATGGTGCAATTAAATTAAGGGTTTTCGTGCATAAGTCCCTGACCAACCATCTTTATTATCTACGTTTAGGAGTTATATCTCTTTCGCCAATAAGCTCATCCCTTTAATATGTACTAGCATTTTTTTCCCGTGCGGTGCACGGGATATTATTTTAAAAGTGAAAAATAAATAATCAATTTAATACATAATAAGAAAATATAGTACACTAAGATAGTAAAATTTTATAATGTAGTATTATTCGTATTTTATATATCACTAGTACCTTAACCCGTGCGTTGCACGGTGGATGTTTCCGAAATTAAATAAGAAAAAAAATAGTTTAAATAATTGACATGTAAAATGGGAATATGGAAGAGAATGTTATAATAAAAAATAAACTAACAACAAACAATATACGAACATAAATTGTTGTAAATACAAATATACTTGCAAGAACATAAATGAAACAACTTTGGGTGAAAAGATTGCCGTTCTTAATGCGTAGCAAAGTATAACATAACAACAACATCTTCAAAGCGTTGAATCCACCTTCACATGCTGTACAATAATTTAAAATGTGTTAATGATGCAAAAGTTAATTGTGCATAATAATGAATGTGAATAATGTACAAAATTAGTCACCTGATATTTCGGAATACTTCTTTATAAACAACATTTGTTGTACTGTTGGAAGTATTTCCTTCTTTGTCAACTATAAGTATTTTCAAACCATTTCGAGCGGTAACCCTCGGCACAACAACATACAGTTGTCCATGAGAGAAAACGGGCTTCGGAAGATATAGACCAACACATTTCAGTGACTGCCCTTGACTTTTATTTATTGTCATAGCAAATGAAAGAGCAATAGGGAATTGTCGACGTTGAAAATGAAATGGAATCCTCTTGTCTAATGGGGTTAACGACAATCTTGGTATGAAGACTTTGTCTCCAATATTTGAACCTGATATAATCTCTGCTTCCAGAACTCGTGTTCCTAATCGAGTAATTAACAATCTTGTACCATTACACAAACCGCTTGTCTGGCCAATATTCCTCAACAACATAACAGGAACACCAATTTTCAACTTTAACTCATGGTTTGGAAGACCTGAAGATGTAATGGTATTCAGAAATTCTGGTGTATATATGTCATTATGTACGGAGGAACTCTCATTGGCAGTACGTGGACTATCAAAACTAAGATACGTCCTTTCATCACCCAGAATCAAAGATAACATGTAGTTGTTTACCATGTCAACAATTTCATTTGTAGGCGCCAATATAGCTCTCTCTCTCGTAAATAATTAGAATCTTTGACATTGGCCATGAGGTTTGGATACGTAGATTCCGCAATAGAAGCTATATGATCACCTGATGATTGTATCAGTAGTTCTTCAGGAATCTCAATTTCTTTCACCCCATCATTAGCTTCACCAGCAACACCATCACCTGTACTCAACACCCAATCTGAAAATTTCTTCACATCAGCGCAATCAAAATTGTTCGAACAACGCCGCATATTTTTCGTCAATTTTAACACTTGACAGTCATACCACAAATATGAAGAATTTATGCTTGCAGACACAATTTCTTGTCTTGTACCTTTTGGAATGACAGGTAGGATTTGTCTAAAATCACCCCCGAAAACAACTGCTTTCCCACCAAATGGCTTGTTCTTACTATCATGAACATAGTGCTTTAATATATCCCAGAAACTCTTATCCACGGACTCAAAGCAATGCTTGTGAGTCATTGGTGCTTCATCCCCAATGATCAACTTCGCCTTGATTATCAAATCAGCCAAAGGAGTGTCACACTTAATGTTGCAAGTTGATTCATCATCAACGTTGAAAGGAATTGCAAACCTAGAGTGTGATGTTCTTCCACCTGGAATCAACAAAGCTGCTATCCCACTTGAAGCTACTGTCAACACTATTTCACCCTTTGATCTTAATGCTGCCGAAAGTGTTCTCCAAATAAATGTTTTACCAGTACCCCCGTAACCGTAAAGGAAAAATAAACCTCCACATTTCTCATTTATACAAAGCATAATATTATCATATATCATCCTTTGTTCGTCATTAAGACTTGAGAACAATCTAGCATGTTCGGTAGCTAATTCACTTATGTCGTAATTCAGTTCATCATAGATAAGTATGTTTTGAACATGGGTGATAACAGACATAGTTGGGAAAGGCATTGTGGGAAAATCTGAGAGGCTTCTATTACTACTTCGTAAAATAGTTTCTATTTCCGCAAGAGCAAAATTTTGCAAGTCATCTTCATCAAGTTGCAAATTTGTTATATATAAATCGGCGTTTTGCAATTAAATACATTTCAAGAACAATAAATTTTTTTTTGTATAAACATATAATATATTAACAATAAATGAAATATTACCTTCACACCGAAGTAACCTTCTTTTCCTACATAAAATATCATCGCTTAAGTAACGCCACGTTTTTTCCCAAACAATTTCTGGTCGTGCAATCTGACTCGACAACAATAATGTTGAGAACATATGCCGCAGGTACGTGCCAGATCCCCAACTATTTGCTTCTTCAATGCCGCCTATGTACTCTCTGTCATCATCTAACATACCAATTGCAAAGCAAGTATCTCTAAATGTAGGGTAAACTACATTATCGACGGTTCTTAACTCAATATAAGAAGAAGGCCCTTTAGCCGTATTGAGCAAGATTCTAAAATAATATAGCTCGCCACTCCCTGGAGGTACATAATGAACTCTTCCAACATAAAATCCTTGTTTTCTTGGACGCCACGCATGCTCTTGTTGCTTCCAAACAAATTTGCTTGGAAATTGAGCATAAGTAAGGGACTTTACCTTTTTAAGAGATATGGATTGTAAGGCACAACAAATCTATTATCCACAACATTTTTTTCCTTTTTTGAACACATTTCCATTATCTCTTCTTCTGTAGAGTGGATAGCCATCTTCATCATTCGATGTTTGATCGTTAAATTTTTTCGGAAAGTATTTTGTACATTTTCCATCTTCCATGCACGAAGATTTGGGATTAAATACACCACACGGACCATGGATCATAAGAGAACTAACACAACTATAACGTATTGGATCTTCATTTACATCGGGTATTTCAGCAGATATTATTTTGTCAATATCCTCTGGATTTGGATATTTATAATCGGGATGTAAAAAGATGAGTATATGAGCGTGCGGCAATCCTCGCTTCTAAAATTCAATTGTGTACATAACTACATAAAAAATTGAGCATGTCATATTAGTAATACATGCTGGTATTAAAATATTTGTGTAATATAAACACAATAGAGTTTTCATAATTCAGTGTTAAAGTAACATTTTTTTATAAATATATTATATATTAATTATATTTGTAATGTGTTTAATTTCCAAAAATAGTCATATTATAATTAATATTATTTACCCATGTAAGAAATATAAGTTATTCCCAAAAAAAAAATTGATTAATTAAAAGTTTATTACTATCCAACTAATAAAATAGTAACAACTATAAAATTAATTTCGACACAATTGAACGTATGTAAGATTTTTCGAAACAATAAAAGATGTTCGTAATACCTCATTTCACTTTTCCGAAAACTTTTCCATCCTTTATATCCTTGATCAGTTGATTGAGTTTCATTTTGAAAACCCGACAAATAATGTCTGGTCTATCTTCAGGTTTCAATTCATGATCCTTTAGTATTCTTGTTATCTCTATCCAACATGGATTGCAGGTAAAAGT